TGAGACCCCATCCCTCACGATCATTCAGTCTTTTCTTCACGTGGCCACCCTTACCTATGCGTTCAATCTCACAACGTTCAGTCTTGCAGCTGGGTTGCTTTCATTACGCCGTGGCTGTTCATTTCTCTCTCCCACACCGTCAACGATGTCGCCTTCTCTGCTCTCCTTGGGCTTTGGTTCTCCTTTAGTCATGCCACTCCGTTTGCATGCATTCCATTCGCATTTACTTCGGCTTTTGGTCTAAAACACGTCTTTGGCTGAACTCAATGTTGTCCTCCATTGTCTTTTTCACTATATTGTTAGCTTCCTTCTCTTATGATTTGTTTGGACGAGGATTTCTTCTATCATAGGTTTCATTTCTTTTGGTTTCTGTAGCTTGTGAATTTGTTCATAGCCATTGTGTTACCCTCTATATGAAACTTGATGAGTATTATATGCTGCTCTATGTGAGATACTGAACTTATCAGGATTGTGATGCTATGATTCATTCTGTCCTTCATTTCCTTGAGCTCAATTTTTTGTTTATATACTGTTGAAATTTGTGCTTGTCGATGTTGCTCTCTTCACAACTGCACGAGTAGTTATGAACAAATGTTTAGTTAAATTAATTACTTAATGTCTTGTTATAATTAATAAAATATAATTTTAAGCATCAACCCTAATAGGGCTATGCAAAACTAGCAATATATCTTTATCTTACTAGCAGAACCATTCATTAATCTTGAAAACTTCAAGTTCTTGCACTATTTTACTCAAGTTCTACATCCAAGCTAGCTCTCTCAAGCATCACCTAAGTGAACCCAATATCTAAATGGTGGTCAAACACTTAATAGCATTAAGCAAAGAGCAAAATAAAGACACACACATCATCAATCACAAAAATAGAGAAGGAACTTAGTGTTAATTCATGCAAGAGTTTAAAATAATCCTAGAACAATAAGTTTAGTTATTTATAAACATAGAAAAACTACAAATACACAAAATATTCACATCCATATTAGATTACAAGGAGAGAAATGGAGAAGAAATAAAGGAATCAAATAAATGGAGCTTCAAATATTTTTAAAGTTTTAACTCTTGAACTTAACTCATCCAAAGCTCAAAAGCTAGCACAACCAAGCTTTCAAAGTGTCTTCAAGTGTGTAAAATATATTCTGGGTTGAGCTAGTAGCATATTAGTGTCATACATAATCAATTTTATATTAATAAAATGTAGTGTTTTTTTGACAGCAGTAAAAGTTACAAATAAAGTCACGACTTTGGACAATTTTGTACTATTATCCAATTGACATGACAACACTTTTTTGCATATGATTTCTTCATCTAAAATCTTCCAAAAGCATCAATAAAGGTCCATAAATTACATCTAATCAAATCTTAAACTAAAATAACACAAAATTAAGCATAAAAATATCAAATTATAGTCAAGTGTGCAAACCCAAATCGAGATACGCATTTTTTTAATTTGAGAAATTAAAATATATACAAGTAAGTCAAAATATATTAGAAAACAAGGAAAATGTACTCAAATGATATGAAATTCTATAGATTAACATACCCTTAAGTTTCACACATTTGAGCCTTAGCCTTATTTTTTTTAAAAAAAAAAGTCATAAGCTCTTTTGCTGATATCAACCCACTCTTCATCCATTTTTCTTTCCACTTACTACTTTAATAAGTGCTAAGTGTTGCATCCTTGAAAGAAAATGAAGGCATTTGAACTTAATTGGGGATTTAAAATTAGTACAAATAGAAAGAAAAGGGGAAAGTGAAATTGACAAAAACAAAGAAGAAAGAAAAGAAAGTTAGAAAGAAAAAAAAATAGGGAATAATAAGTAAAAAACATTCAAGTGAAAGAAATGTTTATCCTTATTGATGTCTTTTGTAAATAGTTTCAATTTGTCCTTCAATTTTCTTGCTCCTCATTTAAGATGCTTAACACTAATTAGAGTATGTAATTTTGACCCATTGAATAATTTCCTCTCGTCACCATACTTGAGACATTAAAACCTTTGAAAAGTCCTTTTGATTTGTGTGTGCATTAGTATAATTAAGTGAAGGCCGAGATGAGAAACAAGCTTACAGTAGATGGATTGCAATAGGTGAGAATAAGGAAAACATTAACCTGTAAACACCTTGAGTGTAGAGTGCAAACACATGACTAGTAAGAGATAACTTGTTGAAAATTATCTTTGTTTAATTAATTGCCTTGCTAATTACATTCTTGGAAGGTTGGAAAAGTTTCTAATTAAATTGAATTTTTGCAAGTTGGAATTGTTTTTGGCCTTGATACATTCACAATTTCTATTGTCCTTTTTATATAGTGACTTTCTTTTACTTGAGAAAAAGCAAGAATTCAAGTGTGAGGTTTTGATGACTTCAAATATTTTCATGTGTTATTAGGGAATTTAGGATTCAATTTAGAGTCATATAAGTAATTTTGAGAGAAAATAAGACTATTAATGAAGAAAAATGAAAGAAAAGTGTTTTTGAATATGAGAAGGGAGAATTGGTAGTATCTTGTTAAAATGAATGGATTACTTGAGATAAAATTTCATTAATGATATTATGTTGTGTGCAGGAAAATTCAAATTAAGAGTCAAAATACCATATGTAAGTAAAGATTGAAGATGAAGAAAAGGTAGGATTTATGCCGTAGCATCTCTGAATTACACTATATCATAATGCACAGTGACAGTGATAGTGACAGAGTGGTTTACACTATAACATAACCAATTATACCATAGTATAAGTGTCAGTTAATGAAATGCATAACTTTATGAAAAATTGATATTTTTAGGGTTCTAAATATTTTAGCCCGTTATTCTTTGACTTTGCTCAACTCCAACAACTAGAAACTAACTAGGAAAGAGAGAAAAACGCCATGGATGAGGTGGAAAAGTTTGAATTTCATGGGAGATTAGTGATTTTCATCCAAAATCACTCCATTTTAAACTTTTCTTCTCTTTTTTCTTCTTCGTTTTGATGTCTTATTTACTGCCTTTTGCTATCTCTAGAAGTATGCGTGGCTAAGTCTCTTTAGACTTAAAGGAACTATGAACCTATAGATGGATTAGATTTGTTTTTATCTATTAGTTAAGCTTAATGTTAATTTCAGTTGCTCATCAAATTCATCAAAATCAATAACATAAGCTCATATTTACAAACAACAATTATCTATAAGAATTTAATTCCCGATTACCTCAACTCTTGGGCTACCAAAATTAATAGACATCATCAATGACTAAATGTCTTTAATTAATGTTAATCATAATTAAGGTCTTAAATCCTCATTAAACGTGATTAAGCAAAATCATTCCTCAAACTCATTTTCATTAGTTTATTTAACTTTCATTAAGTTTATTGAACACTATTAGCTAACCTCATTATCTTAAACTTAGTTGTTTAGTGTTAATGTTAACTTTAAACCCCTTATAGACAATTGTAATCATTGCCATTAACAAAACCCAAGGATTAGAAACTTAAATAACACTTATTAGACTCCATTGGGGTCATTAGAGTGTGTAAAAGGTGGCTGCTATTATGCACACAACAACTCTCATAATTAGAAACTCCTCAGAAGAATCAAGAAGGGGGAGACTGGAAGAGGAACCTTATCCAAGGATTAGATGGCTTGAAACTACCTTTAAGCACCTCTAATGGCAAACTCTAGCAAAGCTCCACCCTTCCTCTCATGTTTTCTCTCAAAATTTTTCATGTTTTATTATTTTAAATGCGTCTCTCAAATTTAAAAATTTAATGTGTTTGTCACAACTAAAGGCACTATCTAACACAATGAATGGCGCATTTCAAAAACCCTACTCAAGATCATTAATATCAGCCCAAGGTGGCCCGATGGCTCCCCTAATCCCCTTCTAACCTTATATAAGGTCCAATGAATCTAAAGGCCATCCAATTATTCTAACTAATCCAATTATGACCTAAATTAAATCACCTTATCCTTACTTAATCTTAATTTATCTTGTTTTAAATTTCAAGATGTTACATGTGGCTAGCTCAAATTCTATCAGATTTAATGGGAAACGTGGTATCTAACTTAGAGGGAATTTGGGCAGCAAAGTACGAAACCAGGGAGCGACTTTTCTAGATAGGGAGTGACTTTCTGTCCTCCCTCTTTGCTTTGTACTTGATTGTTTTATGAATTTGGGAATAATTATAGCTGATATTATGTTTGGTTTCTAAGTTCTCAATCAAGGCAGGGAATAGCCTAGTCAGGATGTTTCTACTTTTTACTTGCTTTATCTTTATTTCCATCCGTTTTAACTCATTGTTTCATAACTCTATTCAAGTATTTTGACTAGTTATATTTATTTTCCTTGTGCTTATTTAGGATTGTATATATAGCCAATATACTTTCTGCTCGTGGGTTTGCTGGATGTACCGGAAGGAAAAGAGTGAGCCTAGACCTAGGACATAATCACAAACAACTAGATTAGGAATAATATAGGGGTTTATGGCAGTGTTAATCGTAGCTTAATGACTTGTTTGAAGGGTTAGAATTAATGAAAGTTAATTTAAATCTAATTAAATACAACTTAACGTACTGAAAGATAATTAAGTCACTTTCATAATGGTTATCACTTTAAGCAAGAATAGTTTCAGTAAGTGATAGTAGAGCATCCTGATAGGTAAACCCGATCCCTGACACTTCATTATTGAGTGAATTTTCATTATTCCTTATTATGCTTTATTTCTATATATTGCTTCAATTTATTATCATGTTTAATTCTTGATTGATAATTATTGCTTGTGGATGACAAAGAAATCTGTTCTCCTCTGGGTACCACCTGGATAGTCCAGTTATTAAACTACTTTGAAGCCCGTACACTTATGGTTCCGATGATAATTCAAGTAACTAAAGAGCCATGCATTTTTCAAATAAAAAAGAACATCAAGATATATTTTCAAGAGAATAAGATTATTGGGATCCATTATATGTGGCAACATACTAGTTGATTAAAAACGTACCATGCAACAAATTAAGCATCATTATTGGCATTGCACCGATCTGCAGGCTTCGATTTTTTCTGTGGTGACTTGTAATAATCCTGGCCGAAGATGGTCTCGATGTCTTCCAATGATCGTCCTTTGGTTTCACGCAGGAAGAAAAAGTAGAACAACCAAGCCAAGGCATTGATACCACCTAACACGAACAAAGTGCCACCCATGGTTATCTTTTTATAGATTGAAATGAACGTCGTGATCACCACCACAGACATCGTCCTATTTACAACCACACCAATCGCATGTCCTTGTGCTCTCAACCTCAAAGGAAATATCTCAGAACTATAAACCCAAGTCGCAGGACCCATCCCAACTTGAATGAAAGTCACAAACAAATAGGTTGCCGCAATCACAAAGCTCGGTGCCCACACAAGTTTCTCTTTTGTACTCTCCACTATGGTCATGCATATGCCTGATCCTAATAGTGCCATTGCAGCACCTCCTGAACTAACCAGCAAGAGAGCCCTCCTTCCAACCCTGTCCATTAAAAATGTGGCCAAACCTGTAAATATAAATTGGGTTATTCCTATTCCAAGTGTGGCTAGATGAATCTTGCTCTTGTGGGTTATTCCTGTTCTCTCGAAGATCCTTGGACTGTATAGCAAAATGCCCTCGATTCCGCTCATTTGCTGGAACATGTGGACCGCCATTGCTATAATCAGTATCCTACGTACACAGCTTGAAGGCTTGCAGAATAGTTCTTTTAAAGCTTCTTCACCTCTGCGAGTTTTGTTGGGGAATTGGTTGCAATTACCAGCAGCGATTTTGATGTCCTGCAAGCGCCGTTCAGCTTCTTCCCTTGTGTTGGAGAGAAGTAAAAGCGCTTGCTCGCTCTCAGCCAAACGACCCTGCATGACTAACCATCTGGGTGACTCTACTAGTTTTAGCATTAAAACTGCGACAGCAAGTGAAGGAATCGATGGAAGGCCGAGCATGATTCTCCATCCCAGTTTGAGTGACAACTTTCCGAAATAATAGTTAGAGACGAAGCTGAGCAAGATTGCGAGAATGATGGAAAGGTCTGGAAGAGAGGTGAGGAAGCCTCGATGAGCAGGAGGTGAGATTTCTACGCAGTAAACAGAGACGACGTTGAGAGCAAACCCTACTCCAATTCCGGTGATGCATCTTCCGGTGAACAAGACGGCGTAGGAAGGGCCGTATCCGCCAAGGATTGAGCCGACAAAGTACATGATGGAACAGAGGATGAAGGTGTAACGACGGCCTATGAAATCGGAGATTCTTCCGGCGGCCATGGTTCCTGGAATAGCACAAGCGCTCAAAGCGCCAACCAGGAGCTCCACTTGTATGTCGCTGATCTTGAGCTCTTCCTTTATGTAGAGTAATGCTCCAGCCATTACTCCAATCGCTGAACATGAATCATAGGGCTTAGCAAAAACTAGTAAATCAATACGTTAATTACACTTAATTGAGATTTCATATTTTTGTAAAACTTATATTTAAATATTGAATCATAAAAATAGATAAATAAATAAAAAAGGAACAGTTTAAAATCATGATAAAAATTTAAAATACTACAATAAGTACATGTTTCCTACTTATTATTATCTTTCACAATATATTCACTCACTAATGAGTATTTAATATATCACAATAATAAATGTTCAATGTAATTGAAAGAATATAAGAGATTTTATCATATGATATTCAAAAAAATAACATATCTCAAATTTTTGGAGGAAATAGGGTATGCAAGTAGTATTCTGATTGTGAAGTTTATTTAAATTTTGGAAGAAAATATGTGTCGAACATTTTTTAGTGTTGATAAATCCAATAAGTGTAATTATGACATTGAGTGAGTGAATTTAAACTACTTATTAAATTCAAATTCATTATTTACCGTCCATATCCTAGGAGTGATGGAAAGGAGAGGAAGGTATATGCTATAAAATTTCTTTCAAAATTAATATAAATCAAGCTAGATAAATAATATTTATGTTTATATAAACGAACAGAGAAGGGGAATACTATGTATATATTCATAGTAAATTATATGCTTAATCGATCAGATGCAGAATAATAAAATAATTTAACATCTTATTATTACATATATTATGATTATTTTTGTTAACAGAACCAAATAAAGAAGGAAAACATTCCTTCTTTTCTCTCCTTGGTTTTTTTATTCACTCACATACCTCTCTCAACTATTTACTTTGAATCTTATACTTTGTTTGAACTTGCAACCTCACCCATTCAAAGGCGCCTTAATGACACTATGACAATAGTCCAATTTCGGACCAGAAAGAAAAGATCTGTTTTAATTTCGTTTCTATGAGTTTTCAATATAATTTTCGTTTTCTAAATGTAATCCCTAATATATATATATATATATATGATTCATTAGGTAACTATGAATTGTATGCATAAAAGATAACTAAGAATTGAATTAAAATGTACGAGTTACTATACTATGTGCTGGAAAGATGCTCACCGTAACCAACCATAGTAGAGACAACAGAGGCGGCCAAAACACAAGCAAAAGCATACTTGTTCACTTTCTCACTCTCACTACTTTCCCATTTTGCTTCAATACCATTTACTTGGCAGTGCTCGTTTGCTTCTTCTTTTCCCTTACACATGTTTGAGATTAAAGTCTTATACTTCGCATGTGATGGTTTTACTTAGAGACAAGAGCTCAACGATCGATGCAATCTATATACACGCACGAGTATTTTTTTTATTTTTTTTGATTTCGAAACTAATATAATTTTAAAGAGGCATGAGATAGCGATTCTCTTTCCTCGAACTTTCCCTCGAATAACTTTAAAAACATTTTTTATATATATATGAGTATGACGCAATTTTTCTTAACTTATACAAACAACAACAACAACAAGCCTTTATCTCACTAGGTGGGGTCGGCTATATGGATTGCAAGACACCATTGTGCTCTATCATTTATCAATTTTTCTTAACTTATAAAATAAGAAAATGTTACTTCATTCCCGGAAAGAACGAAATATGTGTCGATTTCAGTATTTTGAAAAATTGTACACTATATGGAATAGACCTAGTAATTTTTAAAAGACGGCATCTTTAATTAATTCAAGTGGTTTTCAGAACGTGGAATTTTAATCTTCAAAAGATCGACTGCCTCTTCAATATGATTAGAGAGGTTATTAGTGTTTTTTTGGGATAATTTTAAAGCAACCTTTGCTTGCTGTTAAACTAATTATTATTGAGATTTTTTAATAGTTTTTAAACAAATAAATTTGATTTCACTTAACCTGGCTAACAAAATAAACTTGTATTCTTTCTAACGCTATTCATTATTCACTAGATGTCTTTGGAAGAGAAGCTTCTTATTTGACTGGACAATGCTTAAATCTGATACAGTATTGTTAAATAACATATAGTCGTATCCATAAAAGAGTTTATTATCATAGTGGTTGAAATTGAATTTTTAAAAGTTATTCCTTCAAATAACCTTATAGTGGCTATATTTTTTTAATATCTATCACCATATCTCTTTTAATATTATTAATTTCTATATTTATTTTAAGGATGAATGGGCTCAATGGTTGAAAAAAGAATCTTTTAAAGTATAGACTAAATTTTTTAAAAAAAATTGAAAGTATGGCCGGTGCATATTAGTATATAAAGAATTTATCATTAAAAATTTAAAAATTTATAAATAATTTATCATTTATGTACAATGGTATTTCACTAAAAAATATAATAAATTGTCCATAACACAAAATATAGTAAATGTTTTGCTTGGTTTGATCCTATAACATAGATTATATATGTAAAAGCCCCTTATTTTAATTAGATAAAGGGAAACATTGGAAAAATATTTAATGCTTCCTAAAATTTCTAAAATTACTCATACACAAGACTAAGGAGATAAAAGGACTTATAAATATTAATAAAAAGTAATTATAATATATGTGGCAAATATGGCTTCTTTTTTCCCTTCTTTGAAGGGTCGCGGCGTCCACGTTGTGTAGAACGTTCCAATGTTATATTTTCACCAGATATCAGTAATTCATTCGTTAGATAAATATTTTTATTTCTTATGTAATTAGTTACGTCTAGAACTGAACTGCTTTATAAAATTCACAAAATATAGTCTCTTATAAAGTCGGAAAACGCTAGTGAATATGTTGAAAGGGCGAGAAATATTATTCTAAAATGGTGCATTTTTAGTCTCTCGAATTAATGTAAACTTGATCATGCGTGCATGGTCTATTCCAGAAGTTATTATACCGGCGCATATTACGTGGCAATTTTTTTATTTTAAATACAGTGATGAGGTGTAAATATGTGGTGATAGTAAAGTAGAAGGAATGGGAAAATTCAAGAATCCAGTAGACCACGTTATCTATGCTCTACTCCCTAGTATCCTATCTATAAATTATTTTTATTAACCTTATCAATACTAATATAATAAAAATATAAAAAATAAAAATAAATGAAATTTTAAATAAAACCCTCAAGTAAAAAATAAAAAATAAACAGATAATATAATATTATTTTTTATCTTTCTTTCTCTTATTTTTAAGGGTAGTTTGAAAATTTTAATTTTAAACAAAACAATCTTATCAATTAATGATTTATAAAGTAAATTAAATTATACTTTTAAAAAGTGATCAATATACAAGACCGTAGGAGTATTTAATAAAGTTTGTATGTATTGGGTTTTGGGGCCATTAGAATCAAGGTATGCCTACAAGTTCAAAAAATACTTACTTATTGTCTACTAATAAGATCCATGATTTTATAAATTATGATCTAAATTATTATCAACTAAATGAATTTTTATTGGTTAACATTCCGTTTCATTTGATTTTATTCAATTTCCCTCCTTCACCATTATTATTTTTTGCAACTAAACGGACCCTTGGGTTTCACTAAATATATTCCGAGTTTGAAAGGGGCTTGATTGATAACGTGCTTAGCATCTATCAAAAAGAATAACAGGCTTGATTTCGTTTTGTATTCAAGCATATGCTTCAGTAAATGTGAGTTGAAGCGAAAATTAAAATATGTTTTTAGAATAATTTGTCAAAAATAACCAAAAAAAAAGGCAAAATAATTTTACTATCCAGGAATTTGAAGGCTTAGGTTGCCATTCAAATTTTCAATTACTTCCTCAATGTTTATAGATGGATTATTTAAATATGGAGATAGATCGATGTCTTCAGACTTCGAGGGAATGAAATAAGCCTACAGTGACTAGATCCAAGTGATCAGGAAATCAGAATATTTATTTTAGTTTTTTTTTTTTGGTGAAAGGAAATCAGAGTATTTAGTTAAGTCAATTATGCTATCTAAAATTTTCAGATGTCATCAGACCAAAATTTTGAGTTTGTTTTTTTCAATCTAAACATTATTTATTTTATTAAAACATGATTTTTTTTTTGTTTGATGCCTAACTTCACTCAAACAAAAAAAAAATTAAAACATCAATTATTCAAAGTAAGAATAAACAATTCAAATCTCATAATTGGCAATTAAACTGAAGATTCGACAGAGGATCCAAATTGGAGCCTCCTTTTGACCTGACAAATTGGAGCCTGAAGTGCTAGCCTTTGTCCCCAGTATAAATGTAAAATTTTACAAATCCTATTAGAACACATCAGATCCCAGAATAGCCCATAAATTCTCCCAATTGTTCATCTTTATCACTTCAGCTCATCGTAATTTGAACATTTCAAAATAAGAAATAAACAATTTTTTTTAAAAAAAATTAAAGCTCAAACGATTGGAAATTGCAAGTAAGCAGCAGACTGACAGCGATTGCCAGAGCGTGTCATGATGGGGACACAGTGAGTGTTAAAACAGGCATTCCACTTTCTCAAATTTAAAAACCATTGTGAGTCTCTCAAAAAGCACAAAGAAAAAGGAGAAACATTTCCATGGAAACATGATTTTGTTCCCTCGGATCCCTACGCCATAGCCATAGCCTTCCATGGCGTCAACTTCAACACCACCTTCTTTTCACGTTAACCACAAACAACTCGCAAAACGGCCAAAGCTACGTCCCTTTTACAATATTAATACCGTGTATAGAATGGAATGGAGGACGAAAGTTGATATATGGCTTTCTTTTGTTTCCATGTACGTAACAGAATCTGCTTATTGTTGAAGATAAAAGATTATGGAGATCGCAGAGACATATATGTAGGCGTAATAATGAAGATGACCACTCATCTCTCTCTGATATATGTGTTTTTCTGATCAGACCCTTTCCTTTTGTCGATAGCGAAGCGAGCTAAAAGAGGATTCTGAGATTTCCATGTTGCTTGTATATATGCGTGTCGGAGATCCTGTCCTATAGCCAATGGATCTTCACTATCCAGATTTTTGTTTCCTGGCGGATAAAGAACCTTCTGGGTATAAATGAAGATCCGCAAGCACTTGGGGAGAATCCTAGCTTACGCGCGTCTGTAGGTGTATCACATTCAGAAAACACTACCAGTGATATGTCTTTTTATATACTTGTAATTATAATTGTAATTATAATGTTCGCATCTTAACATAGAGTCAGAATACATAACACCGAAAAAAAAAACGCAAATAGGTGAACACACACTAAAGCCACGTAACAACTACGTACTTAATTCTCTGTGTTTTCATTTTCTCTCGTCTTTCCTTTCTTTTTTTAAAAATTCAGAGAGTAAAAAACTATATATTGCGTATGCATGGAAATGCGTGAAAGAAAAAGAAAGTTCAGAGGCAGAAAGAAAGACAAAGTGATATGAGTTCGGAGCTTACTTTCCACAGTGGTCACTGGGGAAGTGAACCAAAAACGTGTAATCCAAGCTTGAGATATGTGGATGGCCAAAAAAAGAAAAAGGAAAAGCCCGTAAGATATCATAGTTGTCACGACTTTATTGACTCCGGCTCCAGAAACGAACGTTAATATCACTGTAAGAAACAGCGCGCCGCTTCAGACTCAGAAGGCAAAAACAAATTTGAAAATGTAAAATTTTCTTTCTTTCTCTGTTCCGATGGTGAAAATCTGTTGGAGTTAAAATGTGGATGTATTATTCCTCACATGGTTCCCTTTATCTGCCCAAAGAAAGAATCCAACAGAGTAAGGCAATATACACTAATAATACGGGGATCATCATCTTCTCCTTTTCCTCTCTGAAAATGATTGATTATCTTCAACGTCTTCGAATTACAAACCCACATGGTAATGTAATCCATATCAAGCGTCTCTTGTAAGAAGAAGAGAAGGCCGGCCACTTAAGTAGTCCGTTCCACCCCCACTATTTTTTCATTGTGTGTGTGTGTGTGTGTGTGTGTGTGTGTGTGTGTGACTATATGATGAATATACACATCTTATGTTGTAATAAAATATACACGACACCAGCTACCTGTCTTAGCCTACTGATCATAAGACTACTTGTTGTACATACTTTATAATAAGATGCAAAGTAACATTGGTTTTTGGTTATTTGTAAAATTTGAAACGTCCAAAATTAAAAATGGCAAGAGTGAAGATTTTTTGAACTCTATATCATATGATAATAATTTGAATTTTAATTCTTCATATTAAAAAAAAGTTTTATCACAAAGGTAAAAATGTGTAAAATATTTATAAACAATCTAAAATTGAAGAAAATCTGTTCCCTAGCTTTTATATCCTTAATGAAGATGGAATTCGGAAAAAAGAAAAAATTATCTACAAATTGTATATTTTTTATCAATAAATTTATATAATTATATTTATATAATAAGTACTCTCTCTAGACAATAGTATAGGATATTGATAATTAATTTTTAATTTCTTAATAAGTACTCTCTCTGGACAATAATATAATTACTCTCTCTAAAAATGCTAGTGAAAATTTTAATTTCTTAAAAAAATTATATCTTTTCAATTATATCTTCATTAAATACCCAATACAGTTACTCTATTTTGAAATATAGAAGAATTTCAACCAACTCACATAGTTTAAAAAAATTAATTAATAGTTAATAGTTAATTTTAATAATTATATCATAAATTTAAATGTTTGAACTAATTTAAATACCCATGTAATTAATGTTTACTTTTTCTCTCTAATTTAATTTAATGATACTATCCATTTATGAGCGATAATTTGGATAAAATGCCATTAAAGCTTCTTGAAATTTATAGTTTTACTTGTAATAAAAAAACAAAGAAATATAAGTTAGTTTCTCTTATATTTGAAAATTGAATTCCTTGATAATGAAAATTAAATTCCACTGCATATTTTCTGAAAAGGAATAATAAATAAAGTATGATTGTTGTTCAAACAATAATTATAAAAATTACTCAACATCTTATCTTTTGGACTAAGCAAGATTTTTAAAAAATGTCTTGTATATCTATATTGTGCTCTAGAAGAAGGATATACTCCCTTTGATCTTATTTATAGGTCAAAGAGAGAAGAATTTTTTTATTTTATTTATAAATTATCTCATTAAATTTTTATTACAAATTTTTTCATTTGACTTGACTTTCATTGAATGTTGAAGAGAGAAAATACATTATTAAAGTATGTATATTTAATAAAGTTAAAGTTAAAAAATTATTAAATTTTTAGAAATAGTTAATGAGTTTCAAGGCTTTCTTTGATTACATTAAAATATATTGGAAGTACCTTATAAATAGCTTTATACCAGTATGATTTTATAATTATAATCTAATATTTTATTATTTATTTAACACCCATTAATTAATGAAGCATAGACATTGTTATTGGATAACAGAATACAAGGCATCTAAGTCTAGTCATTCTAGAAAACATTAAAAACATAACATCGTGAAAATGATTAATGTAATTTGTCAACTTGACGAACGTTGAGAAACAGTGTGAATTGCCTATAAATATAGAGAGAGATCAACTAGCCTTCTGCCTTCCCATCAGCAAAATAGTGTTCAGTTTTGAAGTTATTACTTTGACCGCACAGATCAACTACAGAAAAACTGTTTTAACATGGTGAAACGTTTCAAGCTTCGAATATCCCGACTGATCACTCCTTGTTTTCGACCATGCCGCCCCAAACATCCCTCCACCCCTCTCTCCGACGTCGACGACGACTTCCTCTGGAAAAAGGAAGACAAATGGCACGTCATAGCCAAGGCCTGCGACGACAACACCGCTCCTTCTCGCCGCAAAATCTACAACTCCGCCGCCTCCGATGATTCCGGTCTCGACGACGACTCATTCCCTCTTCCATCAACGAAACGGCGGTATAAGAAGAAAAGGACAACCCCTAGTGGTCATAGTCGTCTGAGTCGCATCAGCACTTCGTCGGCTGATCGCGGCTGTGGTTTGCTCAGCAGCGACGGCTATGCCGACGAAGAAGAAACCGAAGCTCTAGTTTCGTCTTCAAGAATCGAGACGCCGCCTCACGAAGAGCAAAAGGTGAAGAGGAGGAAGAAGAAGAAGGCGGTGTGGTGGGTGGCGGCGAGGGTGTCGGCGTTCGAGGGAACGATGGGGTGGAGGGTGGAAGGGAAGGTGAGAGAGAGCGTGGCAGTGGTGAAGAAGTCGGAGGATCCGTATAGTGATTTCAGGAGGTCGATGATGGAGATGATAGTGGAGAAGAAGATGTTTGAGCAGAAAGATTTGGAGCAACTCTTGTGCTGTTTCTTGTCCCTGAATTCCACTAAATACCATCCCGTCATTGTTCAGGCTTTCTCTGACATTTGGGAGACTCTATTCTGCTTCTGCATCAACAACAGCTGAATTAAACTTTGAGTAAATTTACTTTTTATTTGCTCCATGCATTTTATTTCTTAAAGATCCGTGTGTTGCTGTACCCTATGTCTTTTGTAGTGTATGGGAAACTCCATTCGTAAGATACATGGCTTTGACGTTCGACGATCGAGTGTATGAAAAAACTCCTGGCCCACACGTGAGGCTATGCCGGAGCGTGTAAAAATTAATATTAATATATAACGCTCCTAAGCCATCTATCTATAAAGCAACTTGAAAAATGTCTTTTTGTTTAATTTGATCAGAATCTCTTCCATAAGAACATAACAATTGTTAACGGCTTCAAAAAATTTTATTGTATAATACTCAGAAAATACCAAATCTTCTCTAGCAGATGATACTTATGAACAATCAAAAACTAATTTTCAAGTGTTACTGAAATTCAATACTGCAATTAGAACAAATGAGTTAGTGGATTTAGGTCATTTACCCAATCCAAATCTCCTTTTTATCTAGTAATTAAGCTCTAAACTTTTGTTTGCAATGACCTTTTTTTTTTTGGTCACCAGAATGTTTATATGTATGTGTTGAGCAACTTTGTCATTTATTGCTAGTTAAAATATATTTTTAAATTTTTCATTGATTTGTTTTAAATTAAATTTTACTAATTACTATTTTTATATGTTTTATCTATAATTTTGATTGGGATGCTACTCATTGAAGAAAAATTTTCTTTAGTCTTAAATATTGAAATTGACCATACACCACCTCCTATTGATCACTGAGGAATGTGATTATTTTTGGAACCGTGAAAGCATGCATTAGTTACTTTTGATTTAAATATATTTTGTATTATGAAATGATAATTTAATGCTCCACATATATCGTAGTTAGATCCTAATCTTGTTTTGCTTCTATGTAATTTGCTGGATTAAAGCCAGTCTCCTTTGCTAGGTTGGCTAATAGGCTTGCTATTGTAAAAATTTTGGAGGTTCAAATTATAAGGGAGACTCTATCGAAAATTGTACAAAAATATTTAACACTTTACGAACTTTATAAATTATTTATGGATATATTAGCTTAATCTTTAGCTAACTAAAGCTTATGAAATGTGAATCTATCTCAAATTTCACGTCAATCATACTTGTAGTATTAGGGTGTGACAGATTCATTCAATGATTGTAGTTCTTTGGGTTATTGTTGTGCCTAAGTCTTCTTCTTCAATATTTCATTCATTGTTGTGTAGTTTGGTTTGCGTGTTTTATTGTCAATTGGTATTGTATTTACAAGTATGCAATCATCATCTTTGAGTCAGGGGAGGCATCAAGGTTGTTGTGAATAGGGTTCTTGTGTGTTAAGGGTCAAAGGTGTTAGTTAGACCTTAATTGTTTACTACTATGAAATATGTGCGCATGCACGCGTATTGAGTTGATGTTGTTTGTTTTTTCATGGTGGTTCTAAAAAGTGTGATACTATTGGATATTATGGAAGGCAAGAAAGCAATTATATCAAAACAATTTTTCTCCTTGAAAAATGATTCAAATAAAGTATAATTTATAGTATGTAAACAAAAATAATTATACTTTACATAAGTAGCATCTAATTTTAAAAAATTAGAAAGAAAACAAGGAAATGTTGAAGAAAAACAAAATGAATTCTCAAATTATGCAAGGCAATAAGCAATGCTACTTGCACCACTTATACTTCCCCTTGAAACTCAAAGCACATACTAAATACTATTTACTAATACCTTATACTATTCTCCATGAACATGACTTTTAACATGATGACGTTATATTGTGAAAAATTGTAATTCAGAAGGTGTAAGAAGCTAGAAATTGAGAGTAAAAATAAAGATGAATTGTGAAGTAGGGAGAAATAACATACCCTTATTTATCCACCGAGGCAAAATAGTCCCATCCAATGCCTAACATAAACCAATAGAAGACACAACTCTCTTTCCCAAATGCTCATTAACTTGGTTCTTACCTACCACTACTGCCTCCTCCATATAGATTTCAAATACAAATAAACCATCCTTGATCATGTTAATTGCATAATATCACTTCCTACACATATTCATTTGATTAAAGACTAAAACAATTTCAAAAACACCCTTGTTACATCTTTTAATAGGTATACTAGTAGTAAGCTCCCTTTGTATGTCACCCAACTTATCCCTCCTTAACTTTCCCTAGCCCTTGTCTTTGGACAATATATATACTAACTTTAAAAAAGAAGGGCTTATGGAATCCCAAGTTTCTTTCATATAAACCCTAACCTTATTGAGGACATTTTGTTTGGTATTCATGTTCACCAAACTCCTACACACCTCTCTATCCTAACGTGTAGACTATATGTCATCATTCCATTGTATCAACTCATATGTAAGCAAGCCACTATGTTTTTCTAATGGCATTGCCTTTGTCATCTCCTACACACCTCTCTATCCTAACGTGTAGACTATATGTCATCCTTCCATTGTATCAACTCATATGTAAGCAAGCCACTATGTTTTCTTAATGGCATTGCCTTTGTCATCTCCTACACACCTCTCTATCCTAACGTGTAGACTATATGTCATCCTTCCATTGTATCAACTCATATGTAAGCAAGCCACTATGTTTTCCTAATGGCATTACCTTTGTCATCTCCTGAACTCACCCTTCCAAATCTTATTGACAGCATCATCAAACAAGCTATAAGTGTTCTTATTTAGGCAAGCCTCAAGATATTTGATGGTGCACTCTATAGCAAAAGCACAATATGCCTCCTTCATCATTCGTGTGATTGCAATGTCATTAAGCTTGTCTATTTCTTCAATAATCTATAAATACACCAACAAGTTTTCTACAAGTGAAGCTGTCACACCTCAAATTAAATAGACCTAAGAGCTAATGTTTTTAGTAGCCTTGAATTGATATTAGAGAGAGGGGAAACCTTTAAAATCTTCTTGATGATTGACTTTGGGATAGAACTTCTAAGAACTTGAGTATCCAAGGACATATGTTAAGGTCTATCACACTAAGAAATCTATGATCACTTGAGAAGCTAGAAAGAAGAAGGTTGGGTTTAATATTATCAAAGCAATTTGCATGGAATTTGCTTTATAGGAAAGCTCTTTTAAGAGGGAGTTAAAATGAACTAAAAAATGAAGTCAGGAATCAAAATGTCTCTTAGTGTTAATATTTTGGTTTTGATCTTGGTGAAAATTTCAACTATCCATTTTTTACTTTTTGATTCAATGATTGATACTCATATTAATTTTAAAAATGTTGTTTTATATTGGTAATCAAAACCTTTCATTTTCAAACTAAATCCCAATCATTCATTATTTTAAAAAATTAATGTCATGTTCTTTCCATTTAGATGCTCATGCTATGTCTATTGTAATCCCTATTCCTCTTTTCTTCCTTTGGCTTTTGATGGCCATAGTCTCAAGTCTCAAATATTTTTTTAATGATCCTCTCCTGGTATACACTAGTTGATTTATGTTCAGTTTGTTAAGTTTCTAAAATATGGCAGTTTTTCATTGATGAAATCAATATGCTTGACAAAGATTTGCAAGGAATATGAGTTCACTGGATCACATAAGTGGTTTTGATATGATTTTGGTAGTTTTTGGTGTGAGAAATAATTATAATTTCTCTTTATAATTTGCATGCATTTGTTTAATAAGAAAAGCAAGGAAATTTTTTTGATTTTGTTTTCTATTTGCTTTTTGATGCCTTTTGTTTTGTTGGCGCTGAAAGGAAAAAAATTGATATTATTGCAAAAGTTAGTATAAAACTAGAATTAATTGATGGAACCAAAATTGAAAATCCATCAATATTGTACAATACTTCATATTCATAGTATCATTACATTACAAAAATATCCTAATTAAATTGATAATATTTTAAAATTAAGTAGCCTTATATTAACATTGTTGTAGGGCTATCTTGGATCTAAATTTGAGACAATAGTTTGCAAATTGACATTTTTGATATAATATTTTAAAATTAAGCAGCCTTATTATAAAATGAGCTAGGACTATAGTTTGCAAATTAATATGAGCTGATGTGTGTAATAACCAATCAAAACTACTAAAAAATGAATTAAACTAGGTGGATTGACAAAGAAATTAGCACACTAACAAAAAATGTTTACCATTAACACTAAAGTAAAATTCATGAGATTTATTGCTATAATAGGGTATGAATGTGGGGCTTCATGTATACTTGGTATTATGTGGGGTCTCATTGGGTGGACAAATGATTCTTGTTGCATTTGTGTGGCCTAAAAAAATGCATGATGATGAGAATCATATATATATATATATATATATTTTACAAGAAAATTCAAAAAAGTTCTACCAAAGCTTTAGAGGCCAGGAGGAATTAGCTTTAGGTCATTGAGAGGATTTAACAATTTTTTTTTTGGTTGCATGTTATCAACCCAATTAGGCCATCACTTCTTGTTTCCTTTACCTTCCTTATGCTTAAGTCCTATACCTTTAAGAGGGGAGGAGACTCACTTTGAGGCATCATCTTCATACGAACTTCTTGAACATTCTTGCCAAGTTCAAGCAAGCCTTCATAGAAAAATAAAAAATGCCTTTGGACAATCTAATGCCTCACTTGCTAACTTTATAAGCAAAGGGCATACTTGCTTAAAATGGTTTGGATTTTTTCATTTATAGGTTAGCAACAATCTCATTCCCACGAACATAATGAATTATACTATATCTTAGAAATCTTGTCCACTACTTCATTATATATTTATCTAGTAGCAATCTCACTTGCACACAATAATAAATCGTTAATGCATGACAACATAAAATCCCCCGTTCTACAAACTTTCAACAACTATAGGAAATGGATTAGTCATTGGTATTAAAACTTACATTCTATTTTCCTTTCTTACCAATCATTGTTATGACATGCTTATATACAGCTCTTGACTCATCTACTTCTTCTATATGAGTAGCAACTTATAAATCAAATTCATGATAGAACAAGTCAAATATTATTAGAGAGTAGATATTTTCAAGTCGTTGCATCATAGCATAACTTTGAACAATTTTTCTTGGTAATTTATGGCAAGCCTCAAAGTCCCTTATCATTTCATTATATCTTTTATCATGTGCC